TCTTAGTGTTGGTACATTTCTAGCTGAATTTAGCTAAGTGTATTTTCCTGCCAAAATACCCTTTTAGGAACAACTACAAGTCGGAGAGATGGTAAATACAGAGGATGGGCAAAGTTATACACGTTATTTAACAGGAATGTACAGAAATGTTAAAGCAAACCATTCAGTTTTTAGTTTCAATAAGTTCTTTGAATAAATATATAGATCAAATTCCTATATTTTTTGTAATTATAAATCAAAATGATACAGAAAAAAATGCTAGACTGATTAAAAACAGAGTACTGATGAAATGAACAAAAGGTAACCAGTTTATTTACTGGAAAAAGTTATGCATTACACAATATTCAGTCATTAACATAAACCAAGGTATAAGAATCGATATATCGGCTTCTGGTTATTTTCTTAGCATCGGAGTGCCTTTCCCAACCATTGAGTGTGTGATCAATTACACAAAAACAAGCACAGGGTGTAGGAATTCTCCCATGAGACATTCACTTAAGATTGTCTACAATAAAAAAATAAAAAGGACAAGCAATAATAAATACATAAGGATTGTTTTTTCTAATTAAGAACAAATGCATGTGTCTGAGAATGTTTCCTTTGAAATTTGAATTTTTAAAAATAATTAGCAAACAGAAGTTCCTTAGATCAGTCATTTAGTCATGTTTCCATATGGTGTTATTAGGTGGAACACTTTCACATCATTTAACCCCAAAAGGCATAAATAAGAAACTGTAATTAAATGTAGGAGAAAGCTAAATGGCTACAACAATAATCAGACAGTGTACAAATCAGGGTTGGCCACGCATGACACAAATGTAAATACTGGAAAGAAATACAATGTAGGAATCATGTTTGGTTCACTGTATATACGTAATCATACAAATAAAAACACTGAGTAGATTACAAAAATGTCATAGAAGATTTCTAAAGAATTGTTGACTCTAACAGTCAAACCATTGAGCTTAAAAATTCTGTGGTGACAATGTTAAAACGATGCATTTTCTCTATGACTTGCTATGCAACCATATCTATGAATCCAACATTCACTCTGTGTCTTCATTGTCACCAAATAATGATTTTTTAACATAGTGATGATATATCCTTTTACTTTATAGGTCTCTGATCTTCGTTTTAAAGTGATATTTTTAAAATTCCAATGGCATTCATTTTTTTTAATATTTATTTTTTAATGGTAGTCGGACACAATATCTTTATTTATTTATTTTTATGTGGTGTTGGGGATTGAACCCAGGGCCTCACCTGTGCTAGGCAAGCGCTCTACTGCTAAGCCACAACCCCAGTCAACCAAAGTGATTTTTTTTTTAAAAAAGAAAGGCATACACTCACACTAAAAAAAAAAAAAAAGTCAACACACAAATTTACTTCTCAGTGTTTTGATTAGAGTCATGATTACCAGAGAATAATTCTGAAAGGAAGAAAAGTTAAAATAAAAATAAATTCTCAACACATGTTGTACAGCAATTAAAAGTCAATCTCAGAATTAATCTGGATCTGCAGTTTATCCAGGCTTCAGATTAAATAGGGCAAAATTTAAATAACTCCAGAGGAAAGGGATAAAACTACATTAAAGAGTAGAGCCATGCATTTCAATATGGAAAGGAGACCAGGTACAGGTGGCAATCTCTTTACATTCCTAATGGGGAAATCGTAGGAGCAATAAGACTTCTAGAGTGTTCAAATCATGGATATGGGAAGGCTTACACGGTGTGAACTATCTCATGCAAACATCTTACACTGTGTACCTCTATGCGCCCTTGCCTTACACTAACAGCAGTTTATTTTTTTTTTTTTTTTTAACAGAACACCATTTGTAGAAAATTTTCAGCTGGGGAACATACCTTAGCACTAAATATCTCTTTCAAATACACTTTGAGTAATAGGATGAAAGAGATGTCTAGATGAAGTCTTTCAGGTGTTAACAGAGCTAGGCTACAAATGCAATACATCCGGAACTATGGTAGTAATGTTGGCATCAAAATAAAGATGAAATTGGGCTGGGGATATAGCTTAGTTGGTAGAGTGTTTGCCTTGCATGCACGAGGCCCTGGGTTCAATCTCCAGCACCACACACAATAAAAATAATAATAATAATAATTTCAGACAAAATCATCTGGGAGCATTATTACAGAGGATGGAAGAAGTCACTCGGGAGTAAGCTTGTTCTCATTATGTCAACACAAATTGATTTTAAGGTAAAAAATGATTTTTCAGTAGCAGCACTGATCATGCTACCTATCATGACTCCAGTTTGATGGCTTTCTGGAAAATTATGTTCCCTTTATTTGAAAACATACTACTATAAAATTTTTGTGATCTTAAATACAGAATTATTTTAAATCATTCTGATTTATAAACAACAACAACAAACAACCAGCGAGTGAACTTTTAAAAATGGAAACTTCACCCCAAGAGTTTCTCTCAAATCTAGGTCTAGCTACAATATCAATGTATTTGTGGCATCCCTGGGTTGAACCAGTACTGTTCCTTCCTGAAAACCTATTAGCTTCTTCTGATTTCTTTCTCAGAGATGCAATTATATCTTTTGGCTGACTGGAGCATGACAATGAAATGTGACATTCTTATTTCAGTAGAAAATATATTTTATTCCTTCATTTTCTTGTTTTGTGATCTCCACTTAAGAACTGGAGAGGATTTTATTTAATTTATTTTTTTTTAATCAGGAAATTCCCACATCTTGGCTATTTGTTGGACCACTGTTTCAGTATTTTCAAAATAGCAGGATTTATCTGTTGTATTTCCATAGGATAAGAAAAGCTTGAAGATCCTTTTAAATAAAGATAAAATTCAAGAGGTATTTGTTTCCCCTAAGGGATCACATACCTTTTCTTTCTGAAGTATTCCTGAGGACATTTGTTTTTTAGATTCCAAAAATTGAGGCTTTTTGTGGCAAAACTGCTACATTCTAGATAACTTTAAAGATATTATGAAATATAGCTGGGAGGAAAATTAATACCAACAAAAATTTTTTAAGCCAAATATCTTGGAGAAAGTAAGATTACTATCTTATTTCAAGGAATTAAATACTTTATGACTATCAGTAAAACTTTAATGTATTTTAAAAAAATAAAAGATTCATGGGATTATAGCCTCCTACAATGATAACACATTATTGTAAGATATTTTAAGATATTTTGCCACTTAACGCTCTCTAGATCTCCAACAATATTAACTTTAAAAAAACATATCTTTTTTATGATTATCAATTCCAGTGATGAATTTTCCATTGTAAAATCCTTCTTCCTAGAATTAGTATAAATCTTTCACACTGAAGAATTTCTTATTCTAGCCTTACTGATATCTATCACTTGCTAAAATTTCTCTTTTCTTGAAGATCACTGTTGTACATGCTCTCCTTGAGCTACATAAAGTATATCTAAGTCTTAACTGTTTAAGAATTTTCTGTTTTTGCAAAGTTCCCCAAAGTCCCTTTTTTGGAATCCAGAACTGTATACATGAAAGGAGTCTGATAAAATGTGAGTTGATGGGAAAGTATCCAAGGTTTTTTATGCCCCTGAGCACTTAGGCCAAAGGCAATTTATTGCTCCTTTTAATTTTACCGATATTTTTTAGTTAAGAAAAAATCTTTAGTAAGAAAGCATTTCTGCATACTAACACTATTCTTTTCAGCATTGTAATTGTGCTTCCTTTTTGAAAAAATTACTTGGGCCAGGAGTTCAAAACCAGCTGAAGAGCAGAGACCCCATCTCATCAAAGCCAAAAACCAAATCGAAACAAAACTTCTACTTGGTTATTCTACTAAACACTCCTGTTAGATTTCTTTCATCTTTGCTCATTGTGTTTACAACACTTAGCCAGTATCTTTAGTGTATTTTTTCAATTTAGTTTTCCTCCCCAAACATGTCTTCAATTAGTAAGGTTCATCCTTTTGGGTTTCCACTAGTTCTTCACTTTTACAGTTTCCTTTTGGATCCTGGTATTATCTTTACAAGTATTAATTCTTACCAACACTACACATGTTTATTCATTTAAAATGCCTATAAATAAATATAAATATGGCTCAATTTAAACTATACCAACTAATGCCACATTGTAAATACATGGTATTCTCTCTTACTGCTTAGGAACTACCACTTAATTTTGTGCTGAAAGTGAGAAATTTATTTCCAAGTTTCTAAATCTTCTTGACAAAGTTCCACTAAAATTAGTATTTTGTAGTTAAGACTTCAAAACAAGCATTTTCCACTCTATTTGGATAAAGAACTGAAATAAAACTAGTTTTTGATAGGTTTCATATTTGAAGAAATAAATGTTCTGTATATGACTCATTTTTCCCTGGGACCTAAATCTAGAATAAGGGAATAAAAATGAATGCAGCCCTGGTAACAGGACAGTTGTGTGGTTACACAGAACCAAGATCGACGGCTGAGTTCCCATCTCACCAGACAAAATCCATGAGACAAACAGAAAGACGTTCTGAGGTACTCGTTAAAAAAGGCATGTTTTCTCTCGCACAAAGTCAACTTAGCAGCTATGCCACTTTTCAGGTCCAAACACATGATGCTTGAAAAAGGAAAAGTGTGTGTGGAGGCGGGGCAAGCATTCTTGAATCACTCTAATAAAATCCACACTGTCTCACTAATCCTGGTAGCAGGCAGATGAAACAGCAAGGGAACACGGGTAGGATGGAGCATGTTAGGTGACTGTGACTAGGGCTTTCATGAAGATCTGTTTTGTTTGTTTCTGTACTTGAACCTGAATCTCTCTTTTGGTGAAGATTTCGACTATTTACCCCAAGTTGCATAAGAAACGACTGTTGAAAATAGCACTTAGAGAAGGAACACAAAACCTCCTGGTTGCTTTGGTAATAATGACCACTACTTATCAGGCAAATGACTGACAGAGGCTCCTGCAATGTGCTTAATGACTGACAGGTGGGCCTTGGATGGACCCCTCCATGAATGTACCCACCCACTTCCACTCGATAAGCTCCTAAACCTTCACTGCTAGTGTCCCGCACCGTTATCTGTCCTTCATGTTAACAGCTGGACTGTGTCCGTTCTGAAGAGAAGTTACATGAAAAGGTGAAACCCTTATGGTTGTAAATTAGTTAAGGCTACCTGACAAAGACAAGGAATCAGGGCTAGGAGCAGTTGTGTGGGCAGCACTTGAGAGTTAAGGAGCCCTAGTGTTAGACCTTTCAGCTCAATTAGCTGTTTCCTTGTTTGTCAGATTATGTGCAAAATAAATTTTGCTGTGAAAATCCACTGCCTTAAATCAAGTCATAAAAGTTACCTAGCAGAATCTGTAAATGAACTAGGAACATGTCTTATCTCAATATAATATAATGACTGTAGGCACCTGAGTGTTTGTCAAAAGTAGACAATGAGCTAAGGTTTATTATCTATTTGTTTTTTGGCAAGGAAGATTCATTATGAAAAAACCTAACAACAACAAAACATACAATTTTAATCAAAATCTGAACACTTTCTGGTAAATTAACTAGCCAAAGCTACCTTACATCTATGTATGTATATATTTTCTCCTTTGTTCTTGATACCTTTTAGCAGGAAAGACCCATAGTAGGACCCTGAATTTGGAAAAAGTTTTAAAAAAAAAGTTCTGGTCATTTAATAAACACATCATTTTTTTTTCCTTTCAGGTTGTTTAAGCCTTCTATAACGTCATCACACACGTACACATGTACAAAGAAGCAGCACCAATACATCTACTCAACCGCAATTTTAAAAAATTGAAGATGCCATCAAAACTTGAATAAGTCAATGAAACAAAATTTAGTCTCTTTCTTAGATTTACTTAATAATGTCCAGTGAAGAAATCTAGTTTAAAAAAAAAAAAACAACCAGCAGTTAATGAGCTACAGATTAGAAAATAAGTGCATAAATAATCAGTGTAGCAGCAAAATACAGTTATTGTTAACATTCTGATGCACCACATTTATCATTTTGTGCAAGGAAAACGACCACAATCTGGCCAAGTCCAGATTTCAAACTCAATTAAAACTCATATGTAACTGAGCAAATTATGCTTCTTTGAAAATAAATGCATTAAATTCACCTCTCACAGATATTATTTTTACAGACATAAATCATGTAGCAAATAAAGTACAAAATAAATATCAATGACCGAAAAATATCAGAATCAACTTCTATAGCTAAATTTGGAGCATGAGGAAAGATGATTTTACAATATATGTATTTTACATCGTCTTAGGTCTCTCTTATGCTATCGAGGTAAGCCAGCCATCTGAGATGCATATTTCATGTTTCTTTTTATTTTTGAAATTTAACTGAACTGTAGCCATTGGATTGGAGAAGTTTATCAGCGACTCAGAGGAACCATAAAACGTTTGATCACACCGGGGTCTGTGCTTTTTATCATTCTTCTCAATTTTCTCTCTTCCAAAACGATGAACATTAACCCAATTGTACAGCGAACCGCCGGGAAGGACATCCCCGCCGGGGCTTGGGCAGTATCCTGCGAGTGGCTACAGAACCTTCAGCCCAGATGTTCCTCCACAGGAGCTGGAGACTAGGGGTAAGGAGGCTTGGAGAGACAGTGGAGAGGGGCGCAGGGCGAGCTGGAATGTGGCTGCTCCTCAGGGAGAGCTACGTCAGGACTGAAAACGAGAAAAAGCTGGTCAGCAGGAAACGCACCGAGGGGCCAGGCAGACCATGAGGGTCAGATCAATTGCTTTCACATACATTTTAAAAACATGATCAGAAATTTTGCACAGAAAATAGTTTAAATTCAAAACATGACAAGTCACCTGTGGCTTTCAAAACAAGGCAATAATAGTAATAATAATAATAATAATAAAAGAAAGGGGGGGAAAAACATGTTAGGGAAATTGCATGTGAACTCTGGCCCCAAAGTCACTTCTTTTCAACTTCAGTAAAGCATACAAATTGCCTAGCAATTTTGGTAGATTCTGATTTAGTAGATCTGGGTAGGACCTGAGATTCTGCATTTCTTATAAGTGCCTGCTCCAGTAATTTGGTTGGTTTGTTTTTGCAGTACAGGGATTGAACCCAGGGGTGCTCTATCACAAAGCTACATTACTGGCCCTATTTATTTATTTGGGACAGGGTCTCACTAAGTTGCCCAGGCTGAACTCAACCTTGTGATCCTCCTGTCTTAGCCTCCCAAGTTGCTGGCCTGGCTCTCTCTACTGATTTAGGTGGTGCTGGATGTTGGACCAAGGCCTTAAGAGTTGAGAGGATTCTATTGTTCTCTGGTGAAATCTGGATTCAATGGGAAAATTAATTGACCCGTGGAAGGCCAGTTCACTAGGAGTTCCCCCACCTGCTTTAGCACAGTGATGCAAAAACAAAAAACTGAAGAGTTTTATGACATTTTCCATTTGTTAAGTAAATGATAGAGATAGACTATCACCTCTGAGAGCTTCCAATTTAAACAACTCAGGCTCATCAAGGTCTTGAGTAATCTTGAAGAATGAGGAAGTAAAATAACTGAATTGCCTAGAGTGAAACCTAAGTATTTGGGTTCAGATCTTTTAAAATGTGGCTAGCAGAGGGGAAAGGGCATTGTGGGGATTTTTCTCTTTATTTTTTGTTGAGGGTTATTGCTGTGTTGCCCAGGCTGGTCTTGTACTCCTGGGCTCAAGCAGTCCTCCTGTCTCAGTATCGAAAGTAGCTGGAATTATAGGCACACACCACAAAATCCAGCTAAGATGGATATTTTTCTAAAACTACTATTTCCCCATATATTATGAAATTCAATACCATACAATTCATTCCTATCAGAAATGTTTGAGAGAACTATTCAAAGTTTGTTATTATTATTATTTATTAATTTAAATGCTTTTTTTTTAAAAAAATGGATTAATCCTTTATTTTATTTATTTATTTTTATATAGTGCTGAGGATGGAACCCAGTACCTCACACATGCTAGGCAAGCACTCAACCATTAAGCCACATCCCCAGCCCTAACTTAAATACTTTTTAAAGCTAATATCATTGAAATAATTTAAAATTAGTATTAAATAAATACATTCTAAACTTTGGTACTGAAATTATCATTCAAATATATCTATCTTGAATTTTAATACAAAATCATAATTACACAAAATTTCTAGTCTGCTTGAAGTTACCTTTACTTCCTAAGCTCTTTGCACTTGTACATTTAGTTTAAAAGAAGATTCATGTTCTGTGCTGGTTAGAACCAATGGTAAAAGTTATTATCCTACATATTTTAAAAATGTGTGGTAGGTAAATACAGGAGAACTGGAACACCATCAAAAGAACTGAGTGGATGGTATTATTTATCAATTAAAAATTATTTTAAAAGGAAGAAAATAATTCATGGCAAGATTGACATTCTCAGAGGGTCAGTCAGATGGTTGGGAAACAGCAGGTTACTGCTAAATCAAACAGATTTTCCCACAGACCTAACGGTTTCTTTCTGTAAATCTGCAAATCTGCATGAGTTAGGACTGATTCCTTCTGAGGGAATTAATATGTTATGCAATGTAAATAATAGCAAGGATTGCAGTCACATTGTGCAAGAAGAATGCATTTTTGAAGACTTGTGTAATTCAATACTCTCTTTGATAAAGGAGGGCAAGTATTTCTGCAAGGCTGGCTGTCCTGTGTGGCAATACATTGAGTGTAGGTTACAGTTCACTTGGCCCTGCACCTTGACATAATATCATTTGTGATGACTTAAGATTATTTTCATTATTTCAGACTTTTTACATAAAGCAAGAGTTAAAAACAACTTAATAGTATTACTATTACAAATTTGCATGAAATCCACTCTTACTGCATATTATGTATAATAGCCTTTAAGGAACATACTATTGGTTTCCAGCCTAAGAAATTATTCTTTAAAAACATTTTTATTGGTTCTTTTTAGTTATACATGACAGTAGAATCCATTTCAACATAATTATACAAGCATGGACTATATCTTGTTCTTATTCAGACCCCAGTACCTCTCCTTCCCCTTCTCTCCCCACCTGCAGCTCCCTTCCCTCCACTGGTCTTGAAGATCATGTTGTAAATAGTAAACTTAGAAACTATTACTATGTCATAAAGGTGGATATTATCTTCGGAAAGCTTTTTTTCTTTTTCCTTTTCCAAGAAAATAACTATTTGAAAGAAGTAGAGATGGTCTGAATACCAAACACCTCTATATGTTTAAACAGTAAATGTATAAAGTGACGGAAGTAAAAAAAAAAAAAATTGTTTTTAGTTGTGGATGGGCACAATATTTTTATCTTATTTAAAGATAAGATAATTTGTGTGAGATAAACGTTCTACCACTGAACTACAACCCCAGCCCCCTGCAATTTTTTTTCAAAATGAGAAACAGAGAACATCTAATCAGAAATCACTCAACATTTGTAACAAATTTTCTCATTGTCTCATTAAACAAACATCTCTTTTGAAAAAGAGTCTATGTGGATAATAAAATACTCTTGCTCCTCCTCTTGTAAGTAAAGTGAGGGAGGGGTCCTGTCCTCTGCAGAGCAGTGTCTACAGTCAGGGCAGTAGGATGGGCTTTGGATCACTGGGCTCAGTTGTGTTCGAGATGCATGACTCTGGACAAGTCATCCGACACACTCTGACCTCAATTTCCTCATTTAAAAATGGGAATGATAGCTGTGCTTACCTTACAAGTGAGGTGTAATGATTAATACCTGTGAAGAACTTAACCCTTGTCTGGAATGCAATATGAAATCTAATGTTGGCTGTGTGTTAACCTTTTCTGTGAGGAAGGAGTGGAAGGGGAGTGAAGGCTTTAACTTCCATCCAGTTAGCAGTGGATGCGGGCAGGAAAGGAGCCAGTCACAATCTCGCAACTCTGCAAACAAGTCAGTCTTTTCCAGTCCATAGATGTTTAATCATCTCTCTTTCTTTTTTGTCAGGACCAGGGATTGAACCCAAGGCTCTGCCACTAAACTATATCCCCAGCCCTTTTTATTATTTATTTTGGGGCAGTCTTGCTAAATGGCTGAGGCTGGCCTGGAACTTGTGACCCTCTTGCCTCAGCCTCCCAAGTGCCTGGGATTCCAGGAATACACCACACTTTCAATCATTTCTCTGTGTAAACCACAGTGAGGAATGGACGAAGCCCTGACTGGACCATGCCGTATTCATGTGGGCAGAAACTGAAACATTTGTAATTCATTAAATTTTTCCTTTTTTAAAATTTTTTTCCAAGAAAATCATCCCAATGGAGGTAGCAAATACCCTACATTCAGTAATCTCAAAAGAAAATGGAACTGGGTCACAGAACCATTTATTCAAACCCTTTCTTCAAAAAAAAAAAAAAAAAGTAAAATAAAATTAGAGTTAAAAACATTTCCTCCCAACCTTTCTGTTTCCTATCTCATTGAAACACTTAAAACAATACGTTTCCCTACTCTGTGTCCAAGCAAATTAGACAGGCTATGAAAGGGACTGCAGATCTTTTTCTTGAGGGTGAGTTAGGTACAAAGTTAGTATTGATAATAAAGATTGAGTGGAAACAACATGCCAAATCTCACTAAATTTCCCCAATATCTATTCTTCCTCACTTTATGAAGATATAGAATCTGAGTTGAAGAAGAAACTTCCAAGATTTGGTGTTAGAGATGGGATTCAAACCCAGGCTACCTAGTCTAGAGCTCATTCACTCATTCATATGATCAATATTTACTGAACATATGTTATGTGTCTAGCAGTGTCCAGAGTGAGAGTGGAAGCTGGACTGTAGAATCCCACTGAGATGGATTGGAACATTTGTACTTATATTCAATCACTCACATAATGCAAATTACTCTAGTGTTGACTGCTTGTATTAAATGGCATTAGTATATTAGCAAAGAACCTAACAACAACAACAACAAAAACATAAAGCTCTATTGCTGGAACTTGTGGAATAGCTGAGCAGGAGATATCAATTGAAAGACCCTGGATAGTGACTCTTTAATAATACCCTGATCTCTAACTCTAGGTTCCACTTATACAGCTGGCAGTGCAACTGTCTCAGAGCCCACACCATATTTGGGCTTTGGCTGCTACTGTGTTTGTCTTTGTAGCTGCCCAACTCCCCCAAGATGTGACCTTGTCAGTGATATCTATTCCTCAGACATGCATGGAGATGTGTTTGGGCCAGCCTCTAATCAAAAGAAGCCTTCCCCTGGCAGAAGAGCAACAGATACATTAAAACACACCAATCAGCAGACCATAAAGACACAGCCAGACTACAAAAGCTTGGCCCAACAAGGCCAGGTAGGTAACTGGAGATGAAGTATTCCTTGGAGATGAGGCGGTCCTGGCGGACACTGTGATGCTGTGTGCAAGTCCTCCCTGGGGGGAGGTCAACTTGTGACTGATATGGAAAGCTTTCATCTGGAATAGGAACTGTCAGCAAACTCTCCAGTTCAGTGTCCAGGGAGTGTGCAAACTTGCCTTTAAATTTCTTCAGTTAATCTCATGTAAAGGGACTCTCACCACAGATACCCTTTTTTGAATGTCGATTATAAGGTTTTTCAACAGCTTTCAAACTTAGTTTTGATGAGAGCACCGAGCAGACAGAAAATAGAAACACTTTTTATAAAGCTGTCCTGGAATAGACATTAGACATGTTTCATATCTAGTTTCTGTATTCTTCCTGTTGATTTGCCTGAGAAATGCATTTGAAGGACAAAAGATAAGCAGAAGAAAAAGTAGGACAAACATTCTAACAGTTCCAGGTTTTATATTTTGGAAAGCATTGAAACTACTAATTCAAATACTTGAAATACTAATCCAAGTATTTATTTAGGGAGCTGAGGCAGCCTTTAGTCTCCCAGCTAATGGCTGGTGACACACATGCAAGCTCTCTTGCATTCTCGTTGGGAGCATATGGACTTCAGGTATGCAAACCATATTCATGTAGCCCATATATGAAATAATTCATAGCAAAATATAATTATGTATAGGTAGTTATGGAATTGGGAAGGGGAGTTGGGGGGACACCTAGGGATCTGACATGCAGCTGGGTGGGAAGATAAAGGACGTGTGAATTTACCTGACAGTTGGGCAGTCTTGCCTCCCGGCTAGTTGTGAGCACTGTGGCGGTACGGAGGCAGCAGGCTGCTGACAATCTACAAGAAACTGATAAATTAGACATGTATACAAAGAGATGACAGAGCAAGGTGTTAGTAACAGTAACTAAAGCAGCTGCCTGAGATTTAGTGAGGAATGTGCATTCACACAGAAACAGCTTGATTAAGCAGGTTTTTTTTCCTGAATGATGCCAATAGAGAAGACATACCTTTTTTAAAAAAATCAAATACAGTATTAAAAAATTAGTGACAAAATTAGTAGCAAGACTTTTCAAGTACATTAGGACACATGCAGTCATTCATATTTGGTATTTTGCTACCTCTTAAAAAGGAAGGAGCTATTAATAAAAGATCTTCAAGTTCTGAACTTGAATGTAGTGGTGGTTACTTGCGTAGCACACACATCTGCTATTCTAAAATGGAATGTATTGAGATAACTGAGCATATTGTCAGGACATGTAGACATATTGTCAATCCTACAGGTACATGGAGAAAGGCATGTAATAAAACCCTTTCCATAATTAATACAAGGATGTTGGATAAGAAAATCATCCTTAGTTTCCTGAAGATTGATTTTTATATATTGAAAATGAGAATTGTTAGCAGAAATCTTCCTGTTTATTGTATAGCAAATTGTTAGTAACTTGAGCTTATGAAGAAAGCTAAATTGAATTAAGGGGATCTCCATTCTTTGTTTTGTTTTTATCATTTTTTTAAAGAGAGAGAGAGAGAAAGAGAAAGAGAATTTTAATATTTTATTTTTTAGTTTTCGGCAGATGCAACATCTTTGTTGGTATGTGGTGCTGAGGATTGAACCTGGGCTGCACACATGCCTGGCGAGCGCGCTACCGCTTGAGCCACATCCCCAGCCCCTTGTTTTTATCATTTTGAAGCCATATAATATGACTCAAACTAGGTTAACAAAGTGATAGCTAGTAGAGTCCATGTTATAGCCAATCCACTTCAAGGAAGACTATGTGCCTGGTGTTTAAAAAATCAAAAATCAGTCTGTACTAGAATCACCCAAGAATCTAGTTAGAAATTCATACATTATATTTATGCAAAAATACTTTTGCACATAATTTAAAATTGGAGTTAGACTTAAAAACTCTTCTTGAAAATTTGAAGCACTTTCTCTTGGTAACTGATTCAGTTATGTATTTGTTTTGCAAACTGCTTCCTCGATATTTACGTAGATAACATTTAAGCCCAATTAACACAAATTCTGGATTTACTGTCTTGAATGAATGACATGTATATTTAAAAATGTGTACCTAAGTATCACTTTTTCTAAAGCCAGTATATTCTCTACATAGCTAAGGAATATCCAAAATCATGATAATTGTTGATGCTTTTATGAAAGACTTTGGAAATACACTGAAACTGTACCACACAGAGTACAGTGTAAGGTAGTCTTGACTTTAGTTCATTTAAGAGAACATTATTACTGAAGGGACCCTACTAGCTTCAATGATTCCCTTTTGTAGAAACTCAGAGTCTTAGGAATACATTCCTTTTTTAAATTTTTTTAAATCTTTGCTCCTTTTGTCTTTTCTAATAGCTTTTCTATCTGGCTTGCAATTTAGGCACGTCTTGGACTAATTTAGTCACTTTTTTTTTTTTTTTTGGTTGGTTGGTTTGATATTTTTGAGAGTGTCTTTCTATGTTGCCTAGGATAGTCTCAAATTCCTGGACTCAAGCAATTATCCTGCCTCATACTCCCAAGTGCTGGGACATAGGATGTACCACCATGCCTGGCTTAGACAGCTACTGTACTTGAGGACAGGTCTGTGCACTTTTGAAGTTAACCAGGTGTGTGTTGCCCTCCTGTGGTATATTTGGGTAAATGCAATGGATGTAAAGACAAAATCACTCTGGAATCCCTGTTTAAATATTGGGAGGGAGATATTAACGAAGTTGTTCTAAAGCAGAGTACTATCTCTGTGGAATGACAATACTAGAATTGATTGGAGTATTAAAATGTTAAATATTTCATATCTTACATATATTAGAAATACTTTTTTTTTTTGCAATAAGTCATGTATTGTTATTCATTCCAAATATACTTTGGTGATAGAGTTTAGAAGGAAGGTAATCAGGACCACAATGCTCTCCCCTAGTGGACTATTTTAATACGTGGTAGTTATTCTTTACATTTGTAGTAAACATCATTTTTCCTTCTTTAGAAGTAACACCTCTGGCTAATTATTATTTTACATTTATTATTTATGAGGACTTCGCTGAGTGCTAGCCTTAGAAAGTAAAAGTCAAATTCCACAGATAAGTTGATGACAGATGAAAAAATTTTAAAGTTATCTACAATGATGTGACTCAATAGTCTTCTAAATCTCTGGTCTAAGGACCTCCAGCTGGGCTCACATCCAGCCCAGCTGAGCTCAGCTCTGTCTCAACATGCATGTACTGGGTAAGATGAAGAGGGCAGGCTGGAGGAGGGAGACAGTCCCTTCTAGCTGAGATCCTGTGGGCTCCCCACGACCTTCCCTGCTCTGAGGAGGACCTCCTTTGGCAGGCTTGAGAAGGAACTAGGCTGAATCTCATTTCCTTTGAGGGCATAAAAGATGACAATGATGTGGCTTATGCAGCAGGCACTGCGGATCCCCCTGCAGCCACTGCTGTTGTTTGGCCACCAGGATTGTCTCAACCGTTCAACAGTCAAGTCACTCAGCTCCAAGTATGTGTCAGAAACTGTGTTAGGCAGTGGGAACAAAAGGCAAACAGAGAAGCTACAGTCGCTGCTTGGTGGAGGAAGACAAACATATTCCATGAGCGATCACAGTAAGTGAAATGGTGGTGATGGTGATGGTGATGATGGTAACAGCATCCCGCACTTATTCATGGCTTTGCCATGTGTCAGGCACTGTGCAGGCACTTAATATGCACATTCTCCTTGAACCCTGTTTTATTCATTCAATTTGCAGATGAGGAAAGGGAGACTTAAGCAACTTGGCAAATCCACTAAGAGGTAGGGAAAAGGCTTTGAATGTGTGATTATATGATCCAAAGGCTGAGCTGAACCTGTAGCTATCTCCCATGATGGCAGTAGCATAGAGTATTATAGAGACTAACTTTAGCTAAATTAAATCAGATTTAATCTAACCAACTAAACGAAATCAGTTTTTGTTTGGTTTGGTACCAGGGATTGAACCCAGGAGTGCTTTATCACTGAGACACATCCCCAGCCCCTTTTATATTTTATTTAGAGGCAGGGTCTAACTGAGTTTCTTGGGGTCTCACTAAATTGCTGGGCCTGGCTTTGAACTTAGGATCCTCCTTCCTCAGCCTCCAGAGCCTCTGGGATTAGAGGCACATGCCACCATGCCTAGCACTAACTGAACTGAATCTAAGTGGTCAGGGAATGCCTCCTGCAGATGTGACATCTGAACTTATACCTAACAGATACTTGACAGCAACCACACGCTGTTCATGGTCACTTCATTATAAAATTAGTGTTTACTAGAACTGAAATGGATAACATTGTAAGTTATCACTCATAGACCTGAGAAAAATCACAGTATATTTTAAAGAGATTGTGCTTCCAGGATAACTATTATACAGGGTGAATAAGAAAAGTTAAAGGGAAAAGCATCTAGATCTTGATAAGCACAGGAAGAGTATTCTCATGTGACATTCCTCATAAACAAAAGACTCAAGTAGGAAGGAAGGCAGAAAAGAGATATGTCTCTCAGTGAGAGTGCGCTTAGCCTGAGGGAAGCCCTGGGATCATCCCCTGGACCCGGAAAAAGGAGAGAGACAGATAGAAAACAAGGGAAGGAGGAAAATATTTGCTGAGTCAACTGTTGTAATCTTTCCTACAAACTTTACATTAGTCATCTGTTTTAAGTCTTAGCAAAATCTGGAGTTTTCATTGTCACTATTCCCATAATAAGGGAAATATTTTCTACGTATGTATATTGCATCCGTTTTTTTCTTATTTATTTACTGGTACTGAAGATTGAACACAGGGGTGCTTTATTACTGGGCTACATCCCCAGTCCTTTTTATTTTTATTATGAGACTTTATTTGAGGCCTAGGCTGGCCTCAAACTTGCAATCCTTCTATCTCAACATCTCTGGAGTAGTTAGAATTACAGGCGTGTGTCACTATGCTTAGCTATTTTCTTTTTCCTTTAACATTTTCATTTTTCTTCATCTCTTCCACCAGAAAACAAGCCCAGAGCTTGGCATCACAGTAGGTGGTCTGCAAACTTCCACTGATTAATCACTAACCACTCTGTATCCAGGGTCACATAGCCAGGAAGTAGCATACTGAGAATTTAAATTTAGACTCTTTTTTAGTTTTTATTTATTTATTTATTTATTTATTGGTACTGGGGATTGAACCCAGAAGTGCTTTACCACTGAGTTACATCCCTATCCCTTTTTTTTTTTTAAATGAGACAGGGTCTCACTAAATTGCTGAGGCTGGCCTCTAAATTGTGATCCTTCTGCCTCAGCCTCCAGAGTAGCTGTATGCACTGCCATGCATGACAAATTTAGACTTTTTAATGCTACAGACTATTTTTCATTCACTACTCTTCTTGCTTCTCAACTCATTGTCAGCTACTTCCAGAAAATATCATGTCATAGAATCAAAGAAATGTAAGAACTTCCCCAGTTAAGAAACTGATTTGCAGGCAATCAAATACCTCAAAATGCAAAGCAAGATGTAGTGTACAGGAATGATACCTATTTTTTTGAAAAGATGTGGGGAAAAATAACAAATTTCGCTGGCAGACAGAAAAAGTCTTGCCACGTGGCTTTCTCTTAGGCTTCTACTATTTTTTAAACATTCCAGTGCAGTTTAGAAAATGACTGGCCATTTGGATGAAGGGAGAGCCTCATGTGGAAGAAGACAGAAACACTAAATTTTGATTCTGCCTTGGCCCACAGGGCAGCAGTGGGCGTTGGTGTGGAGAGTATGGACCAGAGCCTTCTGTGGAGACCATTCCCACCAAGGTAAGTAGTGGGGCCACAGGGTGGCTGCCCTGGTCCCCAGATGCTCTGCGGCAGGTGGAGCA